CGAATAGCTAGTGATCTGGAAATTCATTTAGACCATTAGTTTAATTACAGAAACTGATGGAAGTTTTCTCAGACAATTATGCGAAAGGGCTAGAGCAGTGTGGGGCAGATCTAGACGCTCTCACATCACCCCGTCTTTATTTCTTCTTTCTCTAACTTCCTCTTCCCTGCCATTTTGTTTGTTTGTTTGTTTTTTGGTCCTATCTGTAGATTTTGAGATTAAAGCATGGCTATTCATGACAGATCAATTGAGAGAGCCTAGGGCTCATTCACAAGCTGTCCATAGCACAGTTGGAAATAATTACTTCATAAAAAAAAAAGAAAAGAAAATGAGTAGCCATTTCAAATTTCCCATAATTCTTTGGAACAATGCTATGTTGAGTGCTCCAAGGCATTGTACAAAGTAAGGTTGCTGGCCCAGAATTAAAGGCCAGGATCCTTCTGACCACAGGAGCCATGCTGAATGAGGAGGTACCCAGAGGCGCTTCTGCCTTTGAACATGCATCTTCTTAGGTTCCCACATCATTTATTCAATGATCTCACTTCTACCATGAGATGCAATGATTGTTGAGTTTCCAAGCTAGCTGCTTCCTTACACTGTGAGAACTTCTTCCTCAATCTCTTATTCAAAGACATCCATGCCATCCTATCTCTTGATTGGCTTCTTGTTTAGATTGTTGTATCAAGTGTGAGTAATTGGTTACATCCATGTCTAAGAGTGATGGAAACACAGAAGAACTGTGGTGGCACAGTGGTTAGAATGCAATATTGCAGGCTGGCTCTGCCCACTGCCTGGAGTTTGATCCTGATCGGCTCAAGGTGGACTCAGCCTTCCATCCTTCCGAGGTGGGTAAAATGAGGACCCAGATTGTTGGGGTCAATGTGCTGACTGTAAACTGCTAAGAGAGGGCTATAAAAGCACAGTGGATAATAACGGCAGCAAGAATAGCATATGTACAGTGCTGGAAAAATGAGAATATATCACCAGAGGAAGAAGTGATAAGAAAAATCCTGGACTGTGCTGAGATGGACAAATTAACAAAAGAGATAAAAGAAAAGGAAGACACAGAGGAACATGGAACAAGTGGTATGACTGGTTGGAGACTAGAAATAATAGAGGAGAATAAATATGGAAAGGTCAAAAGTGAAAATATGTGTATAATAATGTATAATAATAATAAATATGAATTATTCTCAGTAAAAAGTAGAATATGAAGGAAGAAAAATGTAAATAAGAACCAATGGGGCAATAAAGACAAATATTCTAAAGAAGAATAAGGGGGGAAATGTAAATAATAGAAGATTACCGTTACGTAATCGCTGTTAAAAAAAGGGGAGGAATATATACTGTGTGTGTATGTGTGTTATGTTTTGCTTTGTTTTCTTTTGTTGGTTAAAAAAAAAAGCACAGTGGAGCGATATATAAGTCTAGGTGCTATTCCTTCCTTCCTCCCTCCCTCCCTCCCTCCCTCCCTTCCTTCCTTCCCAGTGGTTAGAATACAGCATTACAGACTGACTCTGCCCACAGTCAGAAGTTCGATCCTGACCAGCTCCAGGTTGACTCAGCCTTCCATCCTTCCGAGGTCGGTAAAATGAGGACCCAGATTGTTAGGGGCAATAGGTAGTGGCTGAGAGATGGCTGTAAAGCACTATGAAGCACTAAGTCTAAACGTAATAATTAAAGTAACGAGGGATTATTAAGGTAGCACCTAGGAATATAGGCCCTACCAAGCAAGGTGATTTTTTTGTAAATGTAGTAAACTTAGGAAGTCCAATGATTTCAATATTTCCAGATACCACAGCCAGTCAAAACGATGCTGAAAGCTATCTTCCCTAACTTGAAATGCACAACTTTTTCACTTTTTTTTTTTTTACTCAACTTTATGCAGGCACACCTGGAATCCCACTTCCATCTCCCTCCCTGGGTCAGATGGGTAAGACAAAATCCAATTTTGATTTCATTGCCATGTAAATTAGGGGGATATTAAATTGAATTAATAAAAGTCATGTGACCCTCATTATACGTTTGGGTATTTCACCAAGGGATTCAATCACAATTGGTAAGACTACAGATTTCTTTTTTTTTTCCCCATAGGTGTTCGTCTTTGATCTACAAATCCCAATATTTTTTTTTTCTAATTCTTTTATCTCAATCCTAACATCACCTGGTATAGAAACACTGATGAACTAAAACAGTGGTTCTCAACCTTTTTAATGCCGCGACACCCAACTGGTCGTAAGTCGAGGACTACTCAACTGGTGCAGCACCGTTTGCAGAATGGGACTTTTGGCGGGCTCAGCAGGGCAGAGACAGCCTGGACCATTCCTACTGGCTTTGGAAAGCCAATAGAATTAGACTCTATTCAAGAGAGTCTATTCTATTGGCTTTCAAAAGCCAATAGAATAAAAGGGAGTAGCACAGCTAAGGAAAAGGGGAAAAAAATGGCGGATTGCGTTGTTTGGCGACCCCCGTGAAATGGTCGTTCGACCCCAAATGGGGTCCCGACCCACAGGTTGAGAACCACTGAACTAGAATTTCTTCTTTTTAATTACTTTCTATCATAACATGTTTGTTATAAGCAAGATGCCTGCTTGTTTGGATATTTAATAAAATATTATCATTATTATTTTGTCTACCATGACTTTGTGCTTCTATCAGGGATACTGGAATGAAGTTGGGCTCTTTCTTTCAGATGATAAAACCTTTGTGATAATTCAAGCAGGTTCTGTACTGAATACCAGTAAAGTGTACAGTGGTGGTTTGTAAGAGACCTGTTGGGAAATAGGAAACTAATAGAGGAAAGAAAGGGCAAAAATGTCCAAATGAAGGTCACAACTGCAATGCATATGAGAAAAGGCCACTATTCTTCTTATTTTTTTTTTTTACTTTTTGATCTCTCCTTCCTGCAGATCCTTCCTCAAAATGAAAACAAGGGGCTTCAGAGCAGAACAGGAAGGGAGATAAAAACACTAAGATATTGAGAAATGGCTTTTAAAGGAAACTTGGTGGTAGAACTAGAATATCTCTTCGATCAAATATCTTTTAAAGGCAGATACACTAAAACAGACACAAATTGATGACTATCTGACAGGACCTCAGAAATGGACAATTTCAATCACCTCCCCCTTAATTCAGAATTCTTTCTGTGTAGAGATATGGTCTCTTCCTGTGATGGAAAGGGGATCTTGTATGAGTCCAGACGAAGAGATTTAGGATCGCCACTCCCTTGAATCTCCCGGGATATATTCATTAGGGTGAGTAGTAAAGATTTAGTCTGGTAAGATTCTGTCTTACTGAAGAACTAAACTTTGGCTGGGTTATTCCATGTTGTTCTTGGGCTGGGCTGACACTTCTTTAAGGCCTGATTGTTTTTAGCTAGCAGTTTTTGATTTCATCAATTTTGTTTCATTGTGAATGGGTTTATTGATTGGTTTTGAACAGGTTTTGGAAATGGGAAGCATACCAATACATTAAATTTCATTAAATAAATGAATAAATGAGGGATTCTGGATCGATTGTGGATTCTTAATTTGAAAGGTGGTCTATAAGGCATAACACTCTTAAAATTTGCCATTGACATTCGATAAAGTTATTCATATAAGTAGCATAAGACATAACATCTCTTCATTGTTGTGAAGTATCTTATTCACAGCCCTTCCAACTGTATCACCTTTATCAGCATAACCATATCAGAATCTGTCAAAATGATGCATCTTCCTTGACCTTAAATGCACAACACTTCCATTTTTTTCAGTCAACATTTCCATTTTTTTTCACTGTACTTTACCATGGCACATCTGGAATCCCACTTCCATCTCCCCTGCCTCTTCCCCCCAGGTCTGGTCTGAAACAAAGAGGTGTGTGATAGTGGCGAATATCTATAGCTCGGGTGGACGATAAAGATGGAGGTTCGTTCTCTGAGCTTGTGGGTTGGTTTCTGAACATTTCATTACCAGGTTGAGAGTAACATCTTCAGTGGAGTTTAGGGGATGTCTGTGCTGGTGTTCTTCTGTTTATAAGGCCTTTGTGTGGTCAGGCATCATAGTAGTTCAATCTTGACACTAACCCCCACTCCTTCCTTCCTTCCTTCCTTCCTTCCTTCCTTCCTTCCTTCCTTCCTTCCTTCCTTCCTTCCTTTCTTCCTTCCTTCCATGTAGATATAGCCTGGAAATGAAATATTTGGAAACCAACCCACAAGCTCAGAGAACAAGCCTCCACCCTCACAAAGAAGACTGTTTGGGTTAAGATAAAATCCAATGTTGATTAAATTGCCATGTAAATTAAAGGGACATTAATTTGAATTAGTAAAAGTTATGGTGATCCCTTTATAGATTCAAAGGTTTTGTTTCAATGCGACATCAAACCTTTCACTTGAGAGGCATCTTAGAGAGGTCTTAAGAATATGCATTTCTGCTTTTCAGAGGCCTCCAGCCAGTTCTCTGACTTGTCTCTCCTTTTCTGAACCCAGGGCTGGGGCTTATGTGGTGCAATCTGGTGCTGAGTTGCAAGATGGAGGGGCTTGTTCCCAAATAAATAATAGACAAATCAGCCTTGAGTCCTTGTTATGCAGAAAGAGGCTCAGAAGGGATCCTCCCTAAAAACTTAACTGGGTTTATTATGGTAGTTATGCGGAGCGTGCTTTACACTGGCAAGATTCCTGTCTATGGACAAATAGTAATAAAGAAATTATTCTGAGCAATTCATCATGTTCTTTTTGATTCCCTGCACTTGACAGTCTTGGGTGCTTATCACTTTTCCTTGCAGAAAGACAAGGAGACTACCCCATCCCCAACCTTTCACCTGCCAGATATGTCAGACTACAAATGCCATCACACCACGCAAAAGTGCACAGCCCCTTCTAGATGAATATAAGGGGTTCTACAACATAGCCTTTGACCTCATGTTCAACTTAGCCCAAGAGTTGGGTCCATGTGGACATTTCCCAGGAAGTCAACAAATCAATCAATTCAAGGAAAAAGATAGCTGGAATATTGGCTTACTTGTGGACGTGTATACTAGTGAACTGGGGGCACTGTACATGGGAGATCCTTCTTGATTTGCCTGGCACAGGAGCACCCTGCCTATGAAAGAAAAAGAGACAGAGAGTGTTCTGAGGCTGGGAGATATGGAAAAAAAAATATCACAGAGTTATGTAAAACCAAAATTGTTTCTTGACATATTCGGTGAGTTACATTTGCTCTTCTGTGCATGCAAATATATGCATGCAAATATACCTCCCAATAACCTGCAGCAGAAGTACCTATCCTAACCCCCTCCCCACCCCACAATCATTTCTACCTAGAGCAGTGGTTCTCAACCTTTTTAATGCTGCGACCCCCAACCGGTTGTAAGTCGAGGACTACTCAACCGGTCGTAAGTCAAGGACTACTCAACTGGTGCAGCACCGTTTGCAGAATGGGACTTTTGGCGGGCTCAGCAGGGCAGAGACAGCCTGGACAATTCCTATTGGCTTTGGAAAGCCAATAGAATTAGACTCTATTCAAGAGAGTCTATTCTATTGGCTTTCAAAAGCCAATAGAATAAAAGGGAGTAGCACAGCTAAGGAAAAAAAGGGAAAAAATGGCGGACTGTGTTGTTTGGCGACCCCCGTGAAATGGTCGTTCGACCCCAAATGGGGTCCCGACCCACAGGTGGAGAACCACTGACCTAGAGTGAACAAAAGGTAAGAGAGCTGATATTTGTAGCACTTAAATACCTAAAACTTCTCAGGTTAAGGAAGACTGATAGCCTGTCTCACCCCGTATAAATGCCTTCATCTTACATTAAGTAAGATCAACCCATCCCAACTTGTCACACTGATATAAATACATAAAAGAGTCTGGAGTTGCGCAGCCTTGCTCAGTATTTGCATTCCTATCTTTTTTATTATTAAAAGTTTTAAAAAATTTATACAATATATATCCCAAATCCCTCCCACCCCTCCCCCCTCCCCCACTTCCCAGAGCTGATTACAGGGTTACAAATAAACAATCATAATCTAACTAACATTACCCAACTGTACTAACAATCAAATCCATAACATACTTTAACTCCTTTTCAAGATAAATATTAACAAATTAAAAACAAAAATAATAATATAATTAAACCATAATACTAAAAATAATATAAATTCAACCATGTTAAACTATTAATAATAATCTAAAATTTACTCATAAGCTAGATAACACTTTTTAGCCTCATGTTTCTTCTGAATATAATCTATCCATCTTCTTCAAACTGAAATATATCTTTCTTGTGAATAATCCTTCAAATAAGCAGAGATTTTTGCCATTTCTGCTAAATTGGACACCTTAAGTATCCATTCTTCCATAGTAGGCAAAGAATCTTTCTTCCACTATTGCCCCATCAATAATCTTGCAGCTGTGATACTATCTTCTTGATATTGGTGGGAGGGAAGCCATTTTTAGGAGCCATGGACACATCAGAACTGCTAGTATACACCTGTGCTATATGTAACCTGACCGTATCTCACTTTTACTTGATTTATTCGATATATACCAGGGCTGTCCAACCTCGGCAAATTTCAGACTTGTGGACTTCAACATATTGTTAAAGTCCACAACTCCCAGAATTCCCCAGCCAACATGCTGAAGTCCACAAGTCTGAAATTTGCCGAGGTTGGACAGCCCTGGCATATATCGAAAGGACAGGAAGGCCTGGAGGAACGTTGTCCATGGGGTCGCGATGGGTCGGACACGACTTTGCAATTAACAACAACAACAAAGTCCACAAGTCTAAAAGTTGCCAAGGTTGGATATACATACAGGAAACAAACATGAAACCCAGTTTCACACATTGCAGTAAGCCATGGTTCATTGAACCACATTAGTCTGTTTCACTCATGAGATAGCCATAAACCCTTCCTGGGTTCATGTAGATTACACGGTGCCATAAATGGCCTTCTGAAAGGGACTAAATACAGCTCTGACAACTGGCCTGGGGCCCAGACTTTTTTTTGGGGGGGGATGTCCCATTTTAGAGGTGGTGATGAAGATTCTGTCATTCATTAGCCTGGCAGCGTATAAGGTGATAAGGTAGAACTAATAACTCCATGTGAACTTTAGGTATCCTGTTCATCAGGGTTGCTTTCTCTCATTTAAAAGGTCCAATGAACTTTGTGTACTTTCATTCTTGCAATATTCTTGGAAAATGGACTCTATTCTTCCTTCCTACTCTATGTGGGGGGGAAAGGGGAGAGGGGAGAAGAGAATGAGAGAATAATAGAAGTTTGATTTCAGTTTCACTACACCTGAAACGCAGCTAAAGGTCCTTATTGCTATGTTGCTTTCACTTTAGTTATGATGAATTATGCTCTGCTGAATGAACTGGATGGTCGAAAACTATTTAAACTTTGCCTCTTTCTCACTGTTTTTAGCAGTAGTAGTTTACCCAATTTTCATCTTCTATTTTTACTTGATTTACTAAGATTATGAAAGGGGGGATGGGGGAGAGAGAAAGAAAGACAGAGATAAAAAGATAAAGAGAGATAGAGAAAGTCAGAGAAGGGCACACAGAGAGAAATAGAGATAGAGATAGAGATAAGAGATAGAGATAGAGATAGAGATAGAGATAGAGAGAGAGAGAGAGAGAGAGAGAGAGAGAGAGAGAGAGAGAGAGAGAGAGAGAGAGAGAGAGAGAGAGAGAGGTCTAAAAACAGAAATGCATGGGCATAAATGTGCACAGACCCGCCTTAAAGAATAAGGAACATTTGGACAACCTTGTTACCATTTTGCTGGGCTAAGCTAATCATCATCCAAAGTGATAACAAAGGAAACAGATAAAAGCTTTCTGGGATTATGAGTCTCTCCATCTGCAACCTAATGTTTCCAGAAATTGAGAAGTTGTCATTTTCAGAAAGAGGAAATAATAAATCTACATTCATTATTGTATTCACCATAGAATTAACATCAGGTTTGGAACAGGTAGGAATAGACAGTTAAAAATCTTACTATTTAAGGATTGGCAGGGTTTCAGTTGATACTGTTAATGTCGGGGTAAGGCTGAGAGGTGAGCTTTGTCTACATTGGAAAATATTCTGCTGAAATATTTCTCTGAAGTTGAAGAGAAGGCTAGACAATCTCAGCTCTCAGTTTTAACTGCAAGGGCTATTATAATACAACATTATTTCTCTCCAAATGGGACTATTTTTCTCATTCTTCTTGTTTTTTTTTTAAATAATCTAAATGTTTTTGAGTAAATGGGTTGCAAAATAGATTAAGTTGCTTTCTAAATACAGAGAAATTAACCCAATAGTTTAATATTAGTTGCGTTAATTATACATAGATGTTTGCTTCCAAACATTAAAAAAATAAAGCTCTTGCCATTGTTTTTAAAAATGTAATGTTAAAGTATTATCATACAAATGGTGACAATCCAAGCTAGATTAACAGCTCTGATGGCAGTTAATGTGTTTCTAAAACTTCTGAGGAGCTGTTACAACCCATTATGGCTGAAATATTGGTGTATGAAAAATTAATAAAGCCAGCAGAAAATGGAATTTGGCATCTGTGCTAGCTATTTACATAGAAAGAATCACCCAGAATTAATTATGCCCTCTGTTACATTCTAATGAGTTTTTCATTAAAATGTACACTATTATGGAAACTAAACAAGGATTATTCAAACAAAAATGCCAACAGATGTTTTTTTTTTCAAAGAAAAAGAGGGAGAGAAATTAAAATTAGTTAATTGGTTGTACATTTATATCTAGCGTGGGGTTAATCGAACCCTATTTATTATACAGTTTATGTATATTTTGCAAAGAAAACATTATATGTGGAACCATGTATTAGTGCTTGGCCAACATTGTCTCTGGCATTTTTCCCCCTTCAGGCTGCTTCTTCAATTTAATGGAAAATAAATTGTTAACATATTTTTCTTCTTTTTTTTTTAAAGGAGATACTGGATCCCTTTTAAATTTGGATTGCATTGACTTAATAACAACAACAACAATAATAATAATAATAATAATAATAATAATAATAATAATGATGATGATGATGATGATGATGATAGTAAAGTTGGAAGGGACCTTGGAGGTCATCTAGTCCAACTCCCTGCTCAGGCAGGAAACCCTACACCATTTTGGATAAATGGCTGTCCAGTCTCTTCTTAAAAACTTCCAGTGTTGGAGTATTCACCGCTTCTGGAGGCAGGTTGTTCCACCGATTAATTGTTCTCACTGTCAGGAAGTTTCTCCGTAGTTCTAGGTTGCTTCTCTCCTTGATTAGTTTCCACCCGTTGCTTCTCCAAAACACCAAAAGGTTTGGATAAACGTTTGGATTAGTTTCCACCCCACTTATTCTCCAAAACACCAAAAGGTTTGGATAAACGTTTGGATTAGTTTCCACCCCACTTATTCTCCAAAACACCAAAAGGTTTGGATAAACGTTTGGATTAGTTTCCACCCCACTTATTCTCCAAAACACCAAAAGGTTTGGATAAACGTTTGGATTAGTTTCCACCCCACTTATTCTCCAAAACACCAAAAGGTTTGGATAAACGTTTGGATTAGTTTCCACCCCACTTATTCTCCAAAACAACAAAAGGTTTGGATAAACGTTTGGATTAGTTTCCACCCCACTTATTCTCCAAAACACCAAAAGGTTTGGATAAACGTTTGGATTAGTTTCCACCCCACTTATTCTCCAAAACACCAAAAGGTTTGGATAAATGTTTGGATTAGTTTCCACCCCACTTATTCTCCAAAACACCAAAAGGTGGGATAAAAAGCAATGGGTAAAAGCTCATTAAAGACAAAAGCAGTTTAGGATTACGGAGAAATTTCCTGACAATGAGAATTATTAATCAATGGAACAGTTTGCCTCCTAGAATTGTGGGCTACTGAAGGATTTCGAAAGTCTGGACAGCCATTTGTCTGGGATGATATAAAGTCTTCTGCCTTAAGCAGAAGGTTGGACTAGATTCTAGAAGACCTCTAAAGTCAGGACAAGAAGTAATGGAAGGAAACTAATCAAGGAGAGAAGCAGCCTAGAATTAAGGAGAAATTTCCTGACAGTGAGAACAATTAAGCAGTGGAGTAGCTTGCCTTCAGAGGTTG